ATCAATGCTACAATCGTTTACAAGTTTTTCGAAGAACTATTATTGCTTTTCTTGTCGTCTTAACCACTGGCTTTTGCAAAAATATTACAAACGAAAGGAATTTACTTTCCAATTTTCCACACGATCTTTCCAAACAGACCTCGCGTACTTTTGCTTATTAGGCATGTACAGTAAAACTTCACTTATAGGCGAACACGGATATAGCGAACTTCCGGTTATAAGGAACAATTTATTTTGGCCCGAATTTTGCCCTTCTTTATTTAATATAAAAAATATACGGTTACAGCGAACACGTTATTAAGGAATTATCGCTTATAAGGAACTCATTTCTTAGTCCCAATTTAGTTAAATGTACCGAAAATTACTCTTTTATAACGAACTTCAAAATTTCGGCTATCTGTAAATATCAAATTTCGTTTTCATTGGCAGGGGTTAAAATTCGGTCAAATGCACAGTACTTAAATATATTTATGAAAACGAATTTGTATAGCAGTCCGTAATAGTTTTCTATTTAGGATATTAATAGCATAAGTTTTTTGTCACCAAGGTAAAATGGTTATTCCCTTTTATTCTATTATTTTCTTTTCTTTAATAGTTTTGGCTAATGATAATTTTATAGTCGGTTTTCAACATAATCACGCACGTTTGCAAGCATAATCCATTGAAAACAACAAAGTACGCTTGATTGAAATGAAAAGAAATCTACATCTTTCATTAGTAAAAGTCACCCTTAAAATATAATAGAAGATCTTCAATATAAAAGGAAGGAAAAATCGAAAATCTTGTTTACTCTTAATCATGGAAAGAAAACGAAAAGCACTGCGTTTAGAAACAAAATATGATATTCTATGAGAAAGGGAGTAGAACTAAAACTGAAATAGCAAACAATTTTCAATATCCAAAATGACTATTTTTTTCTTAATCAAATGCTCTTCCAAATGGCAGACGACGGTAAACAAGCAGACGACGGTAAACAATCAGTTCGTTATATGTAAATCTGTTCGCTATACAAACTCCTGATACAAGGAACTAATTCGCTATATGCTTACAAGGAACTCCGGATATAAGGAACATATATTGAATGTCCCAATGAGTTCGTTATAAGCGGAGTTTACTGTATATATATATACAGCGTACAAAGTATATTTTAATTTTTAAAAAGAAGTGTCTCTCGCTTATTTGGAATAAAATTTGAAATTTTTAAAGTTTGAATATGTTAAATTTGTTAGATAATTAGGAAAAACTGGAGTTTTAAAAATACCACCTGCTCATGCGTTCACTTTGCAAACCTATGAAACCACATGAAAAGTTCGGCTCATGCGTTCATTTTGAAAATTCCCTTAAACGATATTATACTCCAAAAATACGGAATAGAAATAGAACAGGCTTTTGGTGGATGAGGATATGTTAATAAAGAACCTTTGGAGCGTAACAAATGTTTAGAAGTTTGCTCGTATGTCAAGTTATTGGCTATCAAAGAGCAATTTTGTGACTTCTTGTGCAGTTGTCGATAATGATCTAATAAGTTAACAAAGATTTGGCGAGTTTGAGATGCCTGTCGGATAAAGTAATCATACGAGATCAGAATAGGCTATAAAGTTTTGTGAAATATGCATTTTCAAAGAAATTGAAGACAATTTTTTTTACCACAGTATCGGTTTTCCACCTGTAAAATTGATCTCTTCATGCGTTCTCCGCCTGGGAAACATAGTGAACGATTGGACTCGGTGGATATTAAAATAATTGTTTTATCGTAAAATGCACTAGAATTGATTGGGTCAAGGCACAGTATTTGCAAGTGAAAAATAAGAATAAATCAACTTATGTTATTCTGGTTAGGTTTCGTAACGGGTCTAATCCAAAACTTTAATGCCGCATCAGATGAAAAACAAAAATGTAAAATAGCGGCTTATAAAGTTTTGGAAGCCAGAACTAGTACATTCATAAAGAACCTATATAGTAGATAAGCTAATGTCACAACTTTATTTTCTTACAACATCTTAACTGCCCGTTTCAACAGAATGAATGAAAGTTATAGCAGGCTAAGACATATTATTTTATAAATATTTATTTATTTCTCATTATAATCTATATTTTTTACAAACAAAAATAAATATTGCTATCTTTGGGTATATTTGGGTGCATTTGGGTATATTTGGGTATTTCGTGCCGCCGGTTCAATAAACTTACTGTAGTAAGGAACCTGCATGCAAAAATTGCATAATATATAATATTCTGTTTATCACGGGCAGCACAAAATACCCAAATATTGCCCAAATATACCCAAATATTGCCTAAATATACCCAAATATTGCCCAATTATACTAAAAATAAATGTTTTATACAAAAAAGTGCTGTTTTAATCATGAATACAATATACACTTTCACTTAGATATAATCAAACATACCCAAATATACATTTTCCTATCAACCAAAATACAGTATATGTACTCCATTAAAGCCATTATTTTTTTTAAATAACATGGACACTTATATATGACATGAAATTTCAACAAAATTACACCTTAAAAATTTAAGTGTAAACAACAAATATGATATTTTGAATAAATATTGCAAGTACATTCATAGCTTAAGGTCTTCAGCGTACCCGTTTATATACCATGACATGACGTGAACGCTGAAGACAGACCCGTAGGGAAAGTCCACCAATAATCGTGCCAGGAATCTGACACGCTAGTATTCATTTATCGAACAATTGCTATGTAGTAAAGTAAAGTGAAGTATACCTTGATAAAACTATATATAATCTGTTGATGGACAAATAAAAATCTTATTATGAACATAAACTACCTAACAGTTACCGACAGGTAAAAATTTCGGCACTTGGCCGCCATATTGCCAAAATGTTTGACCATGTGATTACGAGATTGACCTTTACGACCTTTACGAACCCATGTGCTTCCAATAGTTTTATAAATTACTTTTTTTAAAGATACTGAAAAAGGTGATTTACTGACTTTTATATTCAATAAAATCATATTTAAGTACTAAAAAATTAATGAAAATAAATAAAAACATTATCTTGAATAAAAACAATGAAATCATGTCAACAAAATGTTCTAAAGTTATAGTACACGACTCTATTCAAATCAGTTCCCGTGAATGACGTCATACAAGGTCTTGCATGGCACCTGAATGTCATGGCCGACTGTAGTCAGCATTAATTGATGTTTTACAGTAACTGTTAAATAGGCAATTTTAATGACGGTATCAATATTTTGATACTTTAATTGGTATAGAACGATATTAAAATAATTTTTCATTGACACACATGTATTTTGAAATGTTATTGTAACATTATGCTGTTAAAATTATACAGCAGTGTAAACTGAAATATGTATAAGTGAATATGAATAAACATAAAGGTGATGAGACTAATATGAAGTAGTGGCAAAAGTTTATCAAAAGAAGAGGGGCTTAAAAAGGGCTTAGCCCTTCTATCAAAGCCCAGAATCATCCTACAGGTATATACATGTAGTATAATGCTGAAATTTAGCGGGTCTTTACACTATGTTTGCATTTATAACGCAAATAATCATGATGTCATGGCAATATATATGCACGGCAGTGTAGTACCCTTTTTACAGAGTTGCAAAATTGGCATTGGTATGTGATTAAAAGAAATAACAGAAAGGAGGTCACTGGTGGGTGTTCCATAACATGTTAGGCATTTTAACATGTATTACTTTTACGAAGTAGCTAGCTGTGCTGTACAGGCCAGTACTTAAATCATATATGGTTTGCTTCTTCCCACTGTGCAAAGGGCTCAGGCCTGTTGTAGAACATTTTTTAAATGATGGGTAAAAGGCAATAATGCAGTCAGTACCTTGCATGTTTAATATATTTTAAAACTTTAACAAAATACAAACATAATTATATGATTGTATTATTTTGAAAAATATTTTTATGGATAGATGTTAGGCCATAATGAACAGGAACATGATTGTATGCATTGTACTTATGTCAAAATTTATACCCTGATCTAAAACATAATATTATATATTGATCTATGGTCAAAATAGAATCTTCTGTAAATGTTTAGAGTTTTTGATTACAGATCTATGTAAATTATGGGTTATTAACTAGTTAACTACATCATGATGATGATTCATCTGCTTAAAAGTTAAATTTTCATATTTTGTTAAGTTTTCTTGTAGAAACACAACTTTGCATACTCATTTATGCTTTTTTGGTTATTCACTTTTGCAATGGTGTACTGCTAACCTCCAAATGTGTATGCCATATGGCCAGATCTTTTGGCCCTCAGTATGGATAAATTATGCAAGTAAGTTGGAATAATTTTAAATTGAAGGTAGGCAAAAGTCATTTTGATTACCTAGGTATTTTTAACAGGCTGTCCTTTCCTTTTTACAGAGGATGTGAAGACTCTATAACTTCATAACAGGAGATTGAACATTTGAAAATGGATACAAAACACAAATGTGGATATGAGAAAAGAAAACAATGGTCATCCCAAAATGATGTTTTTCAGAGGAATCTTTGTCAAAAACATCTGATAAATGTTCAGATAAACAATCTGACTCACAAAATCTTTTTAAAAATGGAACAGATATCGCAAATCACGAAGTCAGTCAGGTTTAAAAGTGAACGGAATTCAATTTCACCAGACATGTTTTCTTGTCCAAGGGTTGGTAATAGTGTTTGGCCAGCAACAAGCTGTGTGTGAGGAGGATGATAGAAAAAGTAATGGTATGATAGATTCTCACACAGAGAGTGGGTATTTGACTGATTCTGTGATATCTAGGGAAAAGGAATCCGCACACGACAGTGCTGGTTCAAATACCAGTAATAGTTCGGAGCAGGACATTACTCCTTGTGCTGAAAATTTGATAACGTTCAGTACGTCAAGTAGTAACATGACCAGTCCAGTGTCACCTTACTCTGAAGAAGCATCTATTGACACTGAAAACAGTGCTTCTCATAACACTGATCATGTTTATTTGATTCTTGATTGACACGTCGTCTGGACCGGAAGATCATGCGGGTCAGGTGAATAAAATTTATGACGAATGTACAGCAATTATCGATCAAACATCTAGAATAGAGAAATTAGACATAGACAGCCTGGTTCGTATGAATTTGAACTGTGATACAAATGACCTCATGAGTATTGACAATATTATTGCAACTAATTTTGCGCCACCTAGACCCGAAAGCTTATTAATGCAAAGTGGGACTAGGGGGCGGAGTCAAAGTGAGGTTTGTGAAACATACATTGATAAGTTTAACCTGCCCTGTGATAGTGATATTAAAGCTGATAGCAGGAAACGGAATAAAAGTTCGGGATTTCCGATTCCCCGTCAGAAAGAAGGTGTAATGATATCAGAGGACATGTTGTCGAAAAGCCTTCCTCATGGTAAAGTGGTAAAAAGTGACAGCGGTCTCATAGAGTTTATAGCAGACGATTTGCAGGAAAAAATACGCAGAAGCAGTCCTATGTCAAAAACAGGCAAGTAAAAAATACAGTTTCAATTTGAAGACATTTTCTGTTCAATTCATATGCAGTATAAATCAATATATTGTTTTGTATGGCACTCATATAAATAATCAATTTACTCAAAGTTTTCAATTGGGGGCAAATTATAAGTAAAAAAATTAAAATCCCATTTTATGAGGATTATACTTATAGAAAGTCAGTCTGCTCTTTTTATGAAGAAAATCAGTTTTAATTTGATATTGAATAAATATATAATACCAATATGTATTTATAAAGGTATTAATAACTTAAATGCCTATTACATTTACATGCATAATTATTGAAAGCTACTTTATAAGTTAAAAAAAATCTATAATTTAAACCCATTTGATTTTAGAAAGAAACATGTAGAATATAATATATCTAAACTTCTTTTAAAAAACCTATTTTATTAGGATACAAAAGTGTATAACAGATTAATAGAGGCCTTAAACTTGAAGGGCTTACAATAAGATACATATATTGCACTTTAAACGAGATATTTAGTGTACATATGATTATGTAATTTCTTTTATCATCAGCATCAAGTGATGTGAGCAGCCGTAGATCGAGCATGCTCAGTTTGACTAGCGTTGACAGTATGGCCTCGTCCTCCATGGCAACCTCAATGACATCTGGAATGTCAAGGTCGTATCCACAGTCCCCAGACTGTATCCCTCCAATAGACCCAATTGCTGTACACGAGATAGAGAACCAGGCTAGATTGGTGGCAGACGGTCTTGATCTCATGATGGGAAATCTGAGAAACAATCTTCACCAGGTAATTTATTTCCGTGTCTATGAACTTCCAATTTACAATGTTTCATACTGAGATCGAAAATATGTCCTGGCACCTGTCAGCTTGTAATAATATAATAATATTATTATTAGCTCACCTGTCACAAAGTGACAGGGTGAGCTTTTGTGATCGCTTTTCGTCCGGCGTCCGTCCGTCCGTCCGTCCGTCGTCCGTCCGTCGTCCGTCCGTAAACTTTTGCTTTAAATGACATCTCCTCATAAACCACTGAGCCAATTTCATCCAAACTTCACAGGAATGTTCCTTTGGTGGTCACCTTTAAAAAATTGTTCAAAGAATTTAATTCTATGCAGAACTCTGGTTCCATAGGCAACCGCAAAGAAAAATCTTTAAATATCTTCTTTTTAAACAACCCCAAGAGCTAGGAGCTTAGATATTTGGTATGAAACCATTCCTTCTAGTGAGTGTCTAACCAAGTTTGTTCAAATAAAAGCCCCTGGGGTTCAAAATTGGCCCCCGCGCCCCAGGGGGTCAAAATTTGATTTTCCCTATATGCATATAGTAAAAACTTAAAAAAATCTTCTTTTAAAGAACCGTAAGAGCTAGAGCTTAGATATTTAAGCATGAAACATCTTCTAGTGAATGTCTACCAAGTTTGTTCAAAATAAAAGCCCTGGGGTCAAAATTGGCCCCCCCCCAGGGGGTCATTGATTTTCCCTATATGCGATATTTTGTAAAACTTAAAAATCTTCTTTTAAAGAACCCAAAGAGCTAGAGCTAAGATATTTTGGCATGAAAACATCTTCTAGTGGAGTGTCTACCAAGTTTGTTTTTCAAATTAAAGCCCTGTGGTCAAAATTGGCCCCACCCCGGGGGTTCATTGATTTTCCCTATATGCATATAGTAAAAAAACTTAAAAAATCTTCTTTTTAAAGAACCATAAGAGCTAGAGCTTAGATATTTGGCATGAAACATCTTCTAGTGAATGTCTACCAAGTTTGTTCAAATAAAAGCCCTGGGCGTCAAAATTGACCCGCCCCCCAGGGGGTCATAGATTTTCCCTATATGCATCATTAGTTAAAATTAAAAAAATCTTCTTTTAAAGAACCCAAAGAGCTAGAGCTAAGATATTTAGCCATGAAAACATCTTCTAATAAGTGGTCTACCAAGTTTGTTCAAATAAAAAAAGCCCTTTGGGTCAAAATTGGCCCCGCCCCAGGGCGTCATTGATTTTCCCTATATGCATATTAGTAAAAACTTAAAAAATTCTTCTTTTAAAGAACTCAAAGAGCTAGAGCTAAGATATTTAGCATGAAACATGTTCTAAGTGGGTGTTCTACCAATGTCATGTTCAAATAAAAAGCCCTGGGGTCAAAACTGGCCCCGCCCGGGTGGGGGGGGGGTCATTGATTTTCCTTATATATATGTGATATAGCAAAAAACTTTAAAAATCTTCTTTTTGAAAAAAAAACCAAATAGCTAGAGTTTTAGATATTAAGCATGAAACATTCTTTAAGTAATATATCTACAAAGTTTGTTCAAATAAAAAGCCCGGGGGTCAAAACTGGCCCTGCCCCAGGGGTGTCATTGTTTTAAACTAATATGTGTATAGTAAAAAACTTTAAAAAATCTTCTTTTAAAAAAACCCAAATGAGCTTAGAAATTAGATGTTTAGCATGAAACATCTTTTATGGGTGTCTACCAAGTCTCGTTCAAATAAACAAATAAAAGCCTTGGGTAAAAATTGGGGCCCGGGGTGGCGGGGGGGGCCCTATATACAGGTGAGCGACCTCAGGGCATCATGGCCCTCTTGTTATTGCCTTCCTTACTTATTAGCTCACCACAATGTCCTCAAAGATGAGCTTTTGTGGTGACCCATTGTCCGTCGTCCATTGTTCTGTCAGTCCTTGTGTCAACAATTTCTTTAAACAACTTCTCTTAAACCACTTGGCCAAATTTGTTGAAACTTTGCAGGGAATTCCTTGCATGACGCTCTACCAAAGTTGTCAAAAGAATTAAATTCCATAAAGAACTCTGGTTGCATGGCAACCGAAAGATTTTTTTTACAAAAACCTTAAAAAACAGTCTTTTTGTAAAAAATGGAAAGTGGTAGAGCTTAGATATTTTTGGCATGAAAAATCTTCTAGTGGATGTCTCCCAATTTTGTTCAAAAAAAACCCCTGGGAAAAAATTGGGCCCCGGGCCCCCGGTGTCTTTGGGATTTTTTTTATTTTTATGTATATAGAAAAAATTTAAAAAAAAATCTTTTTTGTTAAAAAACCCAAAAAAAGCTGAGTTTGGGAAAATTTGGATAAAAAAATTTGGTTCTGTAAATGTCCCCCAATTTAATGGAGTCTTGCCCCTCGACCCCAAAGACATTTTTCGCCCCAGGGTCATTAGACCCCTTAGACTTTAGCCCCTTAAAAATGACCCCGGACTTTCGCCCCGTTATTCTATAATGAAACCTAAAGTTTGTTTTTTTTCCCGAAAATTTGTTTAAAGGTTTTAAATGTAAAAAAAAGAAAAATTTTTTTTTTCCCTAGTTTTTTTTTTATATATAAAATTTAAAGTATGGGGGAATTGTAAAATAAGGTGGCTGTTATTTTGTTAAACAAGTTAAGTATTTTATATAAGGAATAGAAAGACACTCACTACATTTAAACAGAAAGTATAACTTATTATAACTAAGACTAAGAATTTTGTACTGTTACATAGTTACCAGTATTTTTGTGTCGCCTTAGAAAAAAGGCAACATATAGGGGTTACTTTTGTCGGCATCGTTGTCGGTTTCCCGGGTCGTCCCCTTAAAATTGTGGGATGTAAGTCAGTCATTTTTAAGTCAGATTGACTTCAAAACTTGGGTATGCATGCTTCTTTATTTGACCTGAAGTGCAGTGCACAAAAAAACCGGTACTCTGCACTTCTTATATTTTTTAGTTATTGCCCTTTGTTAATTTTCCATACTATATTTTTTGTCTGGGGCATTTTTCCCTAAAAATATAAAAGCTATGGACATGAAACTTCATAGGATGATTGATCTCATTAAGGAGGAGTGCAGTGCCACAAGAACAAAAAACTCTGGCATTTTTTCTTTTTGAGTTATTGCCCTTTGTTAAATTTTCATAATACTTTATTTTTTGTCCAGGCCATTTCTCCCTAAAGTATTAAAAGCTATGGACATAAATTCATTTGATGATAGATCTCATTAAGAAGGAGTGCAGTGCACAAGAACCGGTACTCTGCAATTTCTTTTTAATTTTTTGAGTTATTGCCCTTTGTTAATTTTCATACTTTATTTTTGTCCAGGCCATTTCTCCTAAAAGTATAAAGCTATGGACATAAATTCATTTTGATGATAGATCTCATTTTAAGAAAGAAGTGCAGTGCACAAGAAACCAGTACTCTCCATTTCTTATTTTTTGTGTTTATTGCCCTTTGTTATTTTTCATACTTTATTTTTGGTCTAAAGTATAAAAGCTATGGACATGGAAACTTCACTAGGATGATAGATCTTATTGATAAGAAGTGCAGGTGCACAGAAACTGCTGCTCGCAACTTTCTTAAATTTTTGGCCGGGTTGCACTGGTGGCAAACCCGGGTTATAGTATGGTGAATTCGTCGGGCCGGGCGGGGAAAAAAACCTTTTGTAACGTTTTCCTCTGCAACTACTTATCAAGCCTCTTGATATTGGGGTTCAGTCAAAATTTAATCCCATCCGTGGTGAATTTGATTTTAGGTCTGGTCGCTATCCATTCCCTTGTTTATACTTAGTTAAAATTTTCAGGTGGGCGGAGCCGGGCGGGCCCGGGGGAAAATTTGTAACAGTTTTTCTCAGAACTTTATTCACCCAGCTCTTGGGGATTTTTTTTTATTTATACAGTATAACACATGGTCCATACCGTGGGATTTGAATTTTCACAGGTCTGTCGCTATCCATTCCCCTGTTTATCGACCTTAGTTAAATTTTTCAGCATTAAATGGTCCAATGGTAGGAAAATTTTTCGAACAGTTTTCTCAGCAACTATTTCAGGCTTCTTGTTATTTTGGATACCCAGGCACAACAATGGGGGTTTTTCCCCCCCCCAATAACCCGTGGGGGGGGGGATTTTTGGGAAAAAAAAAATTTTCCCAGGGCGTCTGTCGCTCATCCATTCCTGTTTTAATGATAGTTAAATTTTTTCAACATTAATGGTCTGGTAGGAAAATTTTCGAACAGTTTTCTCGAGGCACAACTTACTTATCACAGCCCTTTTGGAATTTGGGGGTAAATACAGCTTAAACAATAGCCCTACCGTGGAAATTTGATTTCAAGGTCTGTTGTTCATCCACTTTCCTGTTTGCCAACTTAAGTTAAATTTTTCAACATTAAATGAATCAAATGGCAAGGAAATTTTTGTAACAGTTTTTTCAGGCAACTACTCATTACAGCCTCTTGATATTTGGCATACAGGCATTGAACATGGGTCCCATAGCCTTACCGTGGGTTTCTATTCAGGGCTGTTCCGTCATGTCCACTTCCCTTGTTTATAACTATGTTAACGATTTTCAGGCAATTAATGGTCCCAATTTGGTAGGAAATTTTGCGTAACAGTTTTTCAGGAAACTACTTATCAAGCCTCTTGATTTGCATACAGCATCAACAACATGGTCCCATAAACTTGGATTTGATTTCAGGACTGTTGGGCTCATCCACTTCCTGTTTATCGACTTAGTTCTTAAATTTTTCAAATTTAAATGGTCCAATTTGGTAAGGAAAATTTTTCATAACAGTTTTTGCAGCAACACTTATCAAGCTTCTTGATATTTTAGCATTACGCATTGCTCTCAATTGGTCCCTTACTGTTGGGATTCCCGATTTAGGTTTCTGTGCTATCCACTTCCTGTTTACGACTTAGTTAAAAATTTTTGACATAAATGGTCAAATGAAAACATTTTTTGTTAACACACAGCCTTTCATTGAATTTGGTTACAAATGCAACCCGGCCTTTTCTGTCTTGACCCATTTTTGGCTCGGGACTTCGAAG